TAGGTTCCTTGTTATCAAGATGTAGTATGTGAAAGGAAATGTCAACGTGTGCGGGATTGTGGACGCCATGCATGCAAGAGGAGATGTTGTGATGGTGATTGTCCTCCTTGTTCAGAGGTATGGCTTTCAATAACATTCCCATTTTTGTAATTTTCTTTATGATAATCTTTAAGTTCTTTTTATGAAATTTCAGATATGTGACAAGAAGCTAAGATGCAAGAATCACAAATGCCCATCTCCTTGCCATAGGTAGATTGCTTTCTCTTAATAATTTAGCATTTTCATGTTTGGAGAAACAGATAAGAAGGCTGGTTATTGAGATAAAATGTGATTTTACTTTCTTTTTTTTCTTTTTCAAAACACGTTTGAATTTATTCTTTCTTGATTTTTCTTCCCTTATTATATGTTAAGTTTGAAATGAGGCTTTAATAGTATGATTGACTTGGTTTTGTTTTTTTTTAGAGGTGCTTGTGCTCCATGTCCAGTAATGGTGACTATTTCATGTTTCTGTGGTGAGACACACTTTGAGGTGAGACTTAATAAGTCAAGATTATTGTAGTTTTCAGTTATGATGACTTGAAGAAAATTTAAACTTTTTCTCCAAGAACAATGATTGTATTGTGAAGGGCTAAATGCAAGAAATAGCAAAGTACTTTCATTTATTCATGTATGATATCATCATACTTATATTTCTTTCTATAAAGCATTTTAATTTCATATTTTTTTTTCGTAATGCATTATACTTTGAAAAATCTATCCAAAATCACATGTATCTATCAGGTTCCTTGTGGTACAGAAAAGGAGCAAAAACCTCCTAAGTGTTCCAAGCGATGTCAAATAACCCCTTTATGCAGGCATAAGTCAATTACTAAGGTAAATTACTAAATTACCACTCTTTATTCAGGCATAAGTCAATAAGAGACTTTTCCCATTAAGTTCCTCCTTTTTTTACAAAGTTTCCTAATTTATATTTCCTTGTGTTTCTCCAATTCATTTTTATCTTTTTCAGCCACATAAATGCCATTATGGAGCATGCCCACCATGTCGTCTGGTTTGTGATGAAGAATACCCTTGTGGCCATAAATGCAAACTAAGGTTTGTTTCACCTCCTTTTCTTCATCCACTTTTTAGCATTATATTATTTCCTTCATGAATCATGATCTGTACATCAATTTTGAGAAAGAATCATATATACAAATATTAAATGAAGGTGCCATGGTCCTATACCTCCTCCTAACCCCGAGTTCACATTGAAACCCAAGAAAAAGAAACAAAAACTTCAAACTGAAACAACTCCTGGTTCTCCATGCCCACATTGCCCAGAACTTGTTTGGAGACAATGCCTTGGTGAACATCTTGGAGCTGAGAGAATGGTAAGTGCAAAATTTTCACTTTTTTTTAACCCAACTTTTTATTTTCTAATAATATTATTATTATGCAGATGGTGTGTTCAAACAAATCAAAATTTTCATGTGATAATTATTGCGGAAACCTTCTGCCATGTGGCAATCATTTTTGCACAAAAACCTGCCACGCCCTCGAGCTTCCTGGATCAGGAGGCGAGAAATGTGAGAAGTGCAATCTACCTTGCCAACGGGTTAGCCTTCTCTTTATAGTTGTTTATACAATCCGAGAGAAAAATTCAAAATTACCAAATTGCCCTTGTTGTACAGGAGAGGGATCCTGTATGTCCACATCCCTGTCCCCGAAAATGTCATCCTGGAGATTGTCCACCTTGCAAGGTGCTGATAAAGAGATCATGTCATTGTGGTGCTATGGTTCATGTTTTTGAGTGCTTGTATTACAATAACTTGTCTGAAAAGGAACAGACAGCTGTCCGTTCTTGTGGTGGACCCTGTCACAAGTAATCTTTCACTTTCTTATTGTTTATTATTATTATTTTTTTTTAAATGTTCATTTGTACATATAACATACACAATGTGTTGATTTGTGAGCTACGGTTTTGTTTGTGCAGAAAGTTACCCAACTGCACACATTTGTGTCCGGAGACGTGTCATATTGGTAATTGTCCATCACCAGAAAAATGCTCCAAAAAGGTAAAAACACTAAAACACTATCTTTTGATCTTGTTTGTTGATATTTCGTCCTCTCTTTTTGAATTTTATAGATGATTGATTAATGTGTGAAATAGGTTATAGTAAGATGCGGGTGTCAAAGCTTAAAAAAAGAGTGGCCATGTCATCAAGTACAAGCCACATATATCAGTAATGAGCGTGATCCAAAAGATATAACCAAAAATCAATTTGGTGTTGGACTTCTTCCATGCAATTCTGATTGCAAGAGTAAAGTCAAAGTTGATGATTCTGACTTGCACCTCCGAAAACCTAAAGCTCCTGAGGTAGTGTCATAACTCATATTACATAATTATGTTTTTCTTTTCTTCTTTTGTCACGTGTAACTTTTTTTTTTTTTGAAATCTTTTTAGAAAAAGGAGACGGATGTGGAGAATCATGTACGGAAACGTAAAAGAAGGAAAGAGAAATTACAACAAGAGTATCAACTTTCAATGTTCCAGGTTAGTTTGTGATGCTTGAGAAGGGTATAAGTGTGTCATAATTTGTTTGGTTTATGATTTTTTTTTGGTGTGGATATTGAACAGAAAGTGATGGGGATTTTTCGGAAGCTATTGGTGTTGGTTATGATTGTGGTGAGTTTGATTTTAATGGCGTATTTTGGGTACAAAGGGTTGTTATGGGTGAATGATTGGATGAATGAAGTGGAAATACAAAGACAGAGAAAGAGATATCCGAGAATGTGATAAGGGTAGATGAGATGATACAAGGTTGAGAAATTGGAAAAGATAGTGGACAACTCGTGAAAATAATATTATTTTGATATTATAGATTCTGTAGAAGGTATGTTGGAATAATTAATCGTGAAAGATGCTCTAGAAGATGTTTGAAATTGGTTTTGTTATTCTAGTTTCATGTTGAACATGTGTGGGATGAACCTTTTGTATTCTAGGACTTCTTGTGTTCTTGAGTTTTTTTTTATAGAGAAAGAAAAAGTCAATGTTCATTATTTTTTATTATTATTTTTTTTCTTTTGAACTATCTTGATTGTCACGTGGAAATATTTATAAAATTTACGATGATGAAAACATTTCTAGTATTTTATCTTAGCTTATTTGTTTTTTCATAACTACCAAAGATATACGTAGTAAACATAAAGTTATAAAATCAGTTTCAAATCTTGACCGATTGGCAGGGTGTTTTTAGATTGTTTATTTAAAATGTTTATTGATTTATTGTAGTTTAAACCTTGGTGATAAACCATATTTAAGTCTTTGTATATGGGTTTATTTTTTTCTTCTTCTCTGTCAACTTAAATAAAAAGTTTTTGATATGTTGCTGCTTTGTTTATTATGAAGCACCATTTGTCAAGCATTAAAAAATAATTTATCAACTAATTATTTTTTTAGTAACGTAAAACTTAATTCAAATATTTTGTTTTAATAAGAATTTTGTAAGACCGACATTTGATTTAGCCTAAATAAAAGTGATTACACATACCTTACCAATAAATTTAACATTTATTTTGTTATCTTGTCGTTTTCCAATAAAAGTCATAACCGCAAATTGAATCTACGTAACATATACCTTTTCAATACAATAACAAACATAAGAAGTGCGTTAGTCTTGTTTTTCGTCATGTAATATGTATTTGGTGGATAGTATAAATATGAAAACATCTCGATATTTTGAGTTTCACCAACCAACCTTATAAGTTATAAATAAATAATCTTCATCTACCATACAAAGTCATTGAATTGGTGAAACCACCCCATATTAATTTTATATATTAAAGAGGGGAGATCATTTCTTGCTTACTGTTCTAAAAAATTTAAAGATCGCCGAACAAATAGAGTGGACGGTGGAGGGTCCGTCACAAGCCGCGGGACCTGAGTAACTACCACCACGTGTACCGGCGGCGATTTTTAATATATACGTGCATTTCATCTTCACATTCTACATGTGCTCTTTACTTTTATTCGTTTTTTCCTAATTGATAACTTTATTTTTTTATCAAGCCATTTTTTAAAAATAATTCCCAATTAGAACAGGCAGCTGAATACAAGTATACAACATAGTAAATATTAATAATAATAATAATAATTGTTTATGGATGTATAAATAAAACTTAAATCTGAATCAAGAATACATTAATTACACTCTGTTACCTAAATGTTTGGCATTCTGTTGAGAATAGAGAGGCGCCACCGTCCCAATTAAATTGCATATTAATCACCATTCTATTTATTTATTTATCATTTTCAAAAAAAAAAAAAAAAAAACAATATTTGTGACTTTTCAAATGAAACTAAACCCTTTGCACTTCCCATATATTATTTACTATTTCTTCATAACCGATTTAAACCAACGACTTCACGTATTCGAGGAAAACATAGTTAGTTGTATTTATATGAAATTTACTTGGTTGTGAATTGTGGTAATATTATAATTTAATAAAAATACCAATCAAAATACATCATTTGTTTAAAATTATTGATAAATAGCAGCAGCTATATGTCTGGAAATTGGAACACCAGAGTTGAAGTATGCATTTAGTCAATCTGTGTCTTCTGCTTCTTTGAATTAGACACAAACCCCACCTTCCTAACATTTGCTTATCACTATCCATTATCCAACCACATCTTCATGGAAACCTCCCACCCAAATATGTAAAATATAATTCAACAAACAAAACCTTACTTTTAAGAACCCAAATGTAAAACAAATTTTATAATAGAAATATTTTCTCATCTCCATTAACAACAAAATAAAACTACTATCCACTACCAACTTTGTGGTTCTAGGTGTTTCCAAATCATCTTCTGTAACCTCATGTTAGACTAACACTAACAAAACAGCATGAAAAAATATAATATTTATCCTAATCTTTGGTGTTTACAAAATATATACCCCCAAAACATTGTAAAAATCAAGCTCATGAAATCAAAAATCAAAAAATCTGTAATCTCATTCTGATATAATCGAAATCTGACCACTGGAAATGCTGCCATGGCTGTCGTCACAGAGCACCACCGCTCTTTCCAAATTGGCCACAATATCGGTCATGGTGGGTCTTTCTCTACCTTCCAAGTTCACACAATGTATGGCGGTGTACGCCATCAGTTCCACCGCCTCCGCCTCATTCACCTCCGGAGGCCCCACTCTCTTATCCAGTATCTTTCCCAATTCGCCGGAAATCACCGCCGGTACAGCATAGTCCACTAGACTTATCGGCGTACCACCGTTGTCATCACTCTTGAATATCGCTCTCTTTCCGGTCAAAAGTTCAAGGAGTACTACCCCAAGGCCGTACACGTCACTCTTGGCAGTGACGACGTTTAATCCGTAGTACTCTGGATCAATGTAGCCGACGGTTCCGGCGGCCTTCGTTGCTCGGTGATCCGATTCGGATTCAGGACCCATTAGAGATAACCCGAAATCAGAAACCCTAGCGACCCAATTCGCGTCTAGCAAGATGTTAGATGATTTGATGTCGCGGTGTATGATCGGAGGAACTGCGTAATTATGAAGGTATTCGATTCCTCTTGCAGCATCCAACGAGATTTTGATCCGCATTTTCCATGAATTCAACAAGCTGCTATTCTTCTCCACGTTCTTCTTGTCGTGTAGATGATCGTACAGAGCTCCATTTCTCATGTACTCGTAAACCAAGAGCTTTTCGTCGCGTTCTTCACAGTATCCCACGAGTCTGACTAAATGTTTGTGATGAAGACGAGATAAGAAAGCTAATTCTGAATCAAACGCGCTTTCTTTCTCTTGAAATTTCTTTGTTTTTTGACTTGTTTCCCCTCTTTTAATGGCGACTTCACGACCATCTATGAGTTTGCCTTTGTAGACAACCCCAAAACTCCCTGCACCGATTTTATTCTCTTGGGAGAAGTTATCGGTTGCTAAAGCTAAGTCGGCGAAGGTGAATTCCTCTTCCCTGTCAGCATGTTTTGAAGATGTTCCACTTCTTTGTCGCCGGAAAGCTCTTGACGCTTGTCGCCGGATTGTTGAAGATCTTGAAACTGGACTGCTGTTTGAAAATTGAGGAGGATTGAGCGTAGAAGCAGTGATTGTGGGTTGAACGGAGTTGTGTATCTTTTTGTTCCCACAACAAACACCGGTCCATAAACAGTAAATAATAGTACAGATACCTGCAAAAGCCCCAATTGATCCGACTATGGCAAACGCCAGTAACCCCTTTCTCAAAGCTTTTGAAGGTGGAGACCGTGGGACGTTACCATCTCCAAGCGGCGGTGGTGGTGGAGCCAATAATGGTGGTGATGGTGGGAAGAAACTGGATATATCACAAGGCTTACATATTGATCCATAGCCAGAACAAAGAAATTGAGATTGAGTGTATATACCACAACTGCAATCGGATGTAACACATGGCCCTGGAAGAATTTGTCTCAATGGGAGCTCGAAGTCTAATGGATACGAAGCGTTTCTAGCCCATCCTTCTCCCCAGCAAATTACAGAGAGGTTGCTAGTTGTTAATCCACAAGTAGAATCCAATCCAGCAACGATAGACTCGAAGGAGACACCAAGTATATTATCACTCATAATCCCTCCTCCACCACCCCAACAAACTACAGAGCCATTTAATTTTCGCAAAGCACACGTATGGTTCGCACCAAGCGCAAGTGCAGAGAACTCGAAGGATGAATGATTTGGTACATTGATCTGTCCGTAATCGTTGTTACCTCTACAAATCAAAAAACCGGTAGAATTTACTCCACAGGCGTGATTACCTCCAACAGCAACATTCAACATGCGAAAATTTGTAAACGCAGCTTGAATAGCATTCGTTGCTTCTGAATTGGTTCCAAAACAAATGATTCCAGCGTCGTCCCTCAAATCAACGCCACAAGTAAACCCTAATCCCGATGAAATCGATTGGAGATGATGGTTTTGAGTTGGAATCCCGTCACCATACCTCCAACAATAGACGTTCCATCCAGAACTATTCGTGATCGAGCAAATTTGAGTGTCTCCGATGGATAACTGACTCAAAAGCACCGTTTCATTGTAGTAGAGACGCTTCGGAGTCAGGCTAGGGTTCCAACAGACGAGACTGGAACCGCCGGACCTGACGCCGCAGAACACATCACGACCACCGGCGATTGACTCAAATGAGATATTAGAGAATACATCAAACACTTGGCCATTGCGCCAGCATTGGATCCGTTGACTCGGTTGACCAGCGACGATGCCGCAGACAGTGATGGTGGAACCATAGCTGATAGAGACAGTGGTGGCGGAGCCACCAAAGGCATGGGCGGTATATAAGATAGAAAAGATGACACCGACGACGGAGATGACAGAGGCGGATAATGTCGTCATCTGATGGTCGGGTAGACGCCGGCGACGATGTTTTGCATCGGTTGATATGAACGGAAATTTTTGATTGAGAGAGGAATACTGGAATAGAAAGAGAGATAATCAAATAATAAATGAAAATGAATATTCGAAAATAAAAGAATTTAAATTTTCAGATAATCTGTTACCAGTGAGAATGTATAGAGTAGGGTGACGTACTGTCACACACGGCAAGCTATAATAAGATGACACGTGTTACTCTGTCACCGGTGTGCAGCTTTGTTTACACGTAAGCACAATACTTTAGTTCTAGGTAGCAAGCTTTGACCATTTACTTTTTGAAATACTGAAAGAGTGAAGATTATTCTTTTTGCTTTTTGTAAATGGGATAAATAAAAACAAAATAATATTTAAAATTTTATTTTCTGAATGCTTAAAAGATAAAACAAGTCGTTTTATTGTTACTTGTATTATTGTAGCATGTATTTGCCCCTCTTATGTGTGTGTTTTAATAAGATATTCAACAATAAAAACAAAAATAAAATATTAGGTACGACCGATATATTGCATGTGGACAATATTGTATTTGTTTCGTCAACATTCATATGTTTGGTGCATGAAACATAGGAAATTCTTCTTCTAAGTTCTAATGAAGTTGTGGTTGACGGAGAAATTTACTAATTAGTCCTTAGAGGTTGTTGTCATTTGTCTTAGTCCAAAGTCGAATACTGGTTTCTTAGAATGTTCGTTATTAATACTAATAGGAGATATATGTAAAATTGATAAAAGTATTTGTCTAACTTTTATGATCTCCAAAATTCATATTTTAATCCAAATTTATCTCTTTATATTTATCTTATTGTAAGTATTGGAAACATTAATTTGCCATCTAATAAACATTTAATTTTTTTTTTGTCTAATTAAAGGATACTTTACTTTTAACAAATCTTTACTGAAAGGAAAATACCACTTTTCTTGTATACGGCAATATATTTGCTAATCATGGGCATACCTATACACAGATGATACACATGTGTCTATATATACGTGATAGATTTGTAATTTGTTGATTTTTAATGTTGTTTTTGTTTTATGGTTTTGTTAATATTTAATTCCAATTTTCTAGAACCAAACCAATCTTGTTGATTATGATATGTAAATAATATATCCTAATATCAATCTGATTAGAAATACGAGATGAAATTTGATTTATTTCGGTTGAATTACAACCACAAACCAACAAAATTATGCACAATATGCATCTACAACCTGGATTATGTTGGTAAGTGTTTTATAATATAATAAAATATAAATATAAATATAATACTTCCTCTATGTATTTATGACAACTTTATTATACTTTAGGATAATAAAAAAGTGAAACTTATTGATGATGAATTATTGACCACACCCTTTCCCAATAATGTTGAAAGGGAATGTCTACAAATATTAAAATGAAAATCATGCATATTTATAAATGTTATTTTTGAGATTAGTTTTAATCTAATGTTGATACTTACATAGAATTATTTAAATTTCATCAACTTTAAACGCAATTTGGGTGTTAAATAATATCGGAATCGAACGTTTAGAAAACCATTTTGCGAGAAGTTCTGTAACACCTCATTTTTGTATTACAGTAGAAACGATCAGTAACATAAATAGACGTTTTTATAGAAGATTATTTAGGATAAAGTTTCGATAAAAGTCTTAGTGATTGTAAAAGCAAGAGTGTGCATTAAAAAACGCCTAAAGTTGATTTTGTAAGAGGAAGTTATGAATTTCTAGAAGTTTCAGCGCAATAGTGTGCGACATTGAAATCGAAATGGAAATCCGTCGATTGTTGGCCGAAACAATCTAAACAAGAGTTGAATATCTCGTGAATAGGAGTACGCCGATATAAATACAGTCGAAAACGAATGTCGTATGAAAAAGTTAAGATTTTTATACGGACTTTAATAGTCTAAGTATGTTAAAAATATAACTTTAAAAATAAAGTGAGAATTAGCTGACGGAGTTTAAATGAAAGTTGTAGTATTCTTCGATAGTTACGTGTTGATATAAGAAACGTCGAAAATCGAGTTCGTGTGATGAAGTTACAACATTTATGTTTTATGCAACGCATGTTTCTAGAACGTGGCTACGCGGACCAGCAGGAAATCGACAAGTGGCACCACCCGAAACCACCGAAAAACGTGCCATGCAAGGGAAAAAGTGTGGCACGCACTGCCAAAATTATGGCTATAAATAGCATGTGCAACCCTCTTCTTTCTCACACAATTCTCTAAACTCTATATGAATCGATTCTCCACTTACTACGCTGTAAGTGTAACTTATATTTATATTCATACTCGTTGTTATAAATATATAAATAATATTTATCAGTAATTTCAACCATAATATTGATTTATCTACTTACGGGAGAGGTGTATAGAATGGATACGTTGGCTTAATTGTTAGATTTCAGAAAGGCTACATGCGAAATAGTCTTGTCTCCCAACTGTCCTGTCTAGCTAATCCTTATTTGATAATAAGTTATAGTATTATAGTTCTAGTATTAATAAGGATTAATAAGTTATAGTATTATAGTTTAATACTTGTTAGACGTGTTACCCACCAATATGATCACCGATATAGCTTGTCAATCATTTGAGTAATTGTCCAAGTGAGTTTTTCTCACTATAATGTATACTCTAGTATGTATCCTCTGTATGTTAGGATATAGTTTCCTTACAATATGCTATTTAACAGTTAGACTAGCTTAGTTAGTTGTCTGTTGTGTGAAATCTGTTTATTTGTTAGATATGTATTGATATATTATGCGGGGAGTTTAGGGCGGACCAACTTTGTGCTGAAGGCCAATAGACTCGAGTACACCAGCTTTACATTGAAGGCCAAGGTGCACACCAACTTTACGTTGTAGGCAAATATAGGCGGACCAACTTCGTGTTGAAGGCCAATAGGCCTCCCATATTTATGTTAAAGGTAATTATGTTTATGCATTATATATTTATTGTTGTACATGGTATTTTGGGGAACTCACTAACCTCCGTGCTTACCCAGTTGATTATAAATATTTTTTTAGGTACTTCATTGATTCGAATGCAAGGTTCGACTGTACACATTCGCATTCGCAACATGTTTCCACATAATGTAACTATACTCTGATATATTTGAATAAATAAAAATGAAAATTTTATGTTAAAAACCGAGATATTACAAGTTCATTTATGTTTGTTTATGTAATAGACGAACGAACATGAACAAGATTTCTTGTTTGTTTAATTAAACGAATGGACAAGAACAATGATCTTGTCAATTTATTTATATTCGTGAACATTTATTTATGTTTTTCTGTTAATGATTGTCTATGTTTGCTAATATCCATTTATATTCGTTTATGTTTATGAGTATTCTTATTTTTCTAACTCTTTTCTAACAACACCTATGTAATGATCACTTGTTCGTATATGTTCATTCTTGATTTGGATGTTTAAATTTAAGGAAAATGAGTAAACTAACTCATATAAGCGAGTATTATAATAATAATAAGCATTTAAAAAAAACCACTTTGGAATAGAGCATTCCGGAGTCAGGGTATTCATTACGGATATGTGTTGACCGCTTTCTTCGGAATAGAGTATCCTGGAGTCACAGACACACGATTCGGACACAAGTTTTGGACAGTTATTTCAAATTATATATATATATATATATATATATATATATATATATATATATATATATGAGTAAATTACACGAATGGTCCCTATGGTTTGGAGTAATTTGCACGTTTGGTTCCTAACTTATTTTTTTAACTCGGAATGTCTATACTATTTGTTTTTGTTGCACGCTTGGTCCCTGTTTTACCTAAAAATACTATTTTGCCCTTGATTTTTAATTTATTTAAATAATCACACCCCTAACCCCACCCCCACCTCATTTATCTTACGTAAAAAGACTATTTTAATTTATTTAAATAAGGGCATAATAGTCCTTTTAGTTAAGACAATGATCAAACGCATAACAAAAACAAACAGTAGGGACCTTCCGAGTTAAAAAAATAAGTTATGGACAAAACGCCGCAAATTACCCAAACCATAGTGACCATTCATGTAATTTACTCTATATATATTGTAACACCCTATTTCGAATCGTTTCCTAATTCGGGGTCGTGGCCTGAAGATCAGTTATCATAAGGCTTGGGGCCTTGGGTAAAGAGAGATTTAGACCCCTTTGGACGTGGATAATGTAGACTAGGAGATCCGAGAGTTCAGTTTGTGCTTTGGAGCCCAAGGGTATAATTATAAAGTGATAGTTCAGGCTATTTATAAGTTTTAGATTTATGTTCAAAAACTTTTAAGGCAAAGAAGAGTTGATGGGATTGTAGCGCTTCTAATTACCTTTTCGTGGATATAAGGATCATCTAAATTGGAGTTAGAACGAAGAAGTTATGGCCATTGGAAGTTTGGTGGTTTTAGGGTTAAGCCTAGTATGTTGGGCGTACATAGAGTATGTTGGTATTAGACCTGTCAATAAGGCTGGTTTGGAGCGAATCACCCTTGCTCCAAACCCTTTAATAAATTTTAAAATATGACTCGCCCTGCTCCAATAACCCTTAGGGTTTTGAATAATCAAATCCATACCCGTATCCACCAAATCAACGAATACACCACCCATCAACCTAACCCTTTTACAATGCTAAAATTTGACAATTTGATGTGTGCATCATAGTAATATTTCTCAAAAAAAAGATAAAATTTCTACTTAAACAAGATGTACATTACTTAATATTCAAAATCCAATACAATAGGAAACACTTTTTACTTAAACATCCAGTTATATATTAATGTCATATATATATATATATATATATATATATATATATATATATATATATATATATATATAATGGGACAGGTTATAAGTGGAGTGAATCGGAAATGATCCATTGCCAACCCATTTAATAAAAAGGTAACGTGTATGGATCGTAAATGGGTAAACAAATCAAAAAAATAAAACCCAAACCCGAAGAATTCTTACGGGTTTGGAGTGAATCAGGGTCAAAACACTCCCCATTGATAGTTCTATCGGGACAGATGATTGTGGATGGCCCTTGGAATACGTTGGGTGTACCAGGAGTACGCATGACATACACCAGTCAGGTGCAAACCCTAATTTAGGGTCATGGACCCTATTTAAAGGCCTTAACTTGTGTCCAAACCCTATTATCTTCATCATCCATCAACATTAACCATAAAATAGAAACCATAGCCCTCATTTGAGCATTCTTGGGGCTTTTGGAGTGCTTTTGGTACACATTGAAGAGGA